ACACCCTTTAATAAAGCTTTGCAGATGGATCCGCACGTCTCACGTCTCGTTCGCCCTGTAACAGAATACTCAGCCTCACAAGGATCCAGCAGCTTTTCATGTGGACATTGGCCAGGTATGGACACTGCAAAACTTTTATTAGCCTTAAAGCAGGGCACACGCCCGCTTGAAGGCTATATTCAAGAGTGTCCGGGCTCGTGTTATTGGATTTCCCCTCTTGTCAAGCCCTCTGGATAACGTTCGCTGTCGACTGACTCACGCCCGGTTTGGATTACTCTTTTGTCTTGCCCTCAATATACCTGTTTGCCATTGTCAGAACCTTGCCTGTTTTTATGACCACGCCTTTAAATAAAAGCTTTGCAGATGGATCCGCATATCTCACCTCTCGTTCGCCCCGTAACAATTATGCCAGAAACAGTCAAGAGAGCTTAAAGGGATGATTCGCTTAAAAATGAAGAATCTGTCATTATTTCCTCACCCTAATGTCATTCCAAGCGTATAAGTGTCTGTCTTCTGTTGAACACAAAAGGAGATAATGTGAATAATGTGCTGGTTGTTCTTGTCAGTGCAGTTACAATGAGCTCACAAAAGCACCATAAACGTTTCATGAACTGTTCTGAAACCATACGATAAATTTGTGTAGGAAATAGTCTGACAATTAAAGGGATCGTGCACCAAAAAATGACAAATCTGTCATTTACAGAACCTCATGTTGTTCCAAAACTGTATGACTTGCTTGCTTCTGTAAAACATAAAAGAAGATATTTTGAAAAACAGAAGTCAATGGGCACCAAAACTGACAGAAAGTCATATGTGACCCTGGAGCACAAAACCAGTCTTAAGTCGCTGGAGTATATTTGTAGCAATAGCCAACAATACATTGTATGGGTCAAAATTATCGATTTTTCTTTTATGCCAAAAATCATTAGGATATTAAGTAAAGATCATGTTCCATGAAGATATTTTGCAAATTTCCTACCGTAAATATATTAAAACTTCATGTTTTGATTAGTAATATGCCTTGCTAAGAACTTCATTTGGACAACTTTAAAGGTGATTTTCTCAATATTTTGATTTTTTTTTTTTTTTTTGCACCCTCAGATTCCAGATTTTCATATTGTCCGATCCTAACAAACCATACATCAATGGAG